AAACGACTATTTTGTCGTAAAAAAGTCAGTGATTTTACATGAGAATGCGTGTGGTATGAAGAGAACCAAACACATACACACATGCCTAGTAAGGCTTGGTCTCCGGTATGTGTGTGGCATCCAGTTACTCTAGAGATTACCAACAGACAACGGTTAATGCTAATTACATTTAGAGCTGGTTAAATTCATATTCAATGCATGTGATTCGATTGCCGTATTATAACTTGAGGCTAGGGGAAGTTACGTAAATCAATCATATAGCTTTGTTTGGTACGGAAATGTTTCTTGCCGTAGGATGTTAGTATCATGTTTGATATTATAGAAAATACACACGACATTTTACTAACGAGCTTTGAATTATTTCGAAGTAATTTTTCTCTAATATTTATATGATCGAAGAAATACGTATTGTCGCATTGATTTACCATAACTGAGACAAGAGATAAGTATAGATTCGATAGAAAATGCATACAGTTTAGGCTGATATGAAACAAATAAATAACTTTGTGTATACATAAATTATTCAGGTTTTATCTACTTCTTTAAAAAGTTTTGTCTAGAAAATGCATAACTTCCAATTCTTTTCATTCCTAATAAGATACCGCTATATACGGCACCAATAGGGAGGCTTGTATTCGTTTCATAATGTAAGTGATTGAACCATTTGCTTGATAAATATGTTAATAATATATAATCAAGTATATTTTAAATATGACGATACTATAGAAATTTCATGCGGTCTTTATTTCTATAAAAAGGAACAATAATCCTTCGACGGTATTTTTTTTATTAAAGTTATTTTTTTTGTAACTATAATTTTTTAACCACCACAACATTTTTTGGTAAATCAATCTTTTTATGAGATATGAGATTAAGTAATAATTAAACTTTCTCATCTACGGAATTTTCATTTTTTTAATGATATAAGTTCTGTATTTATGTCTAAGACATATTTTTGTTATTAAAAACTCCAAATATAATTAAATAACGAGACTGACTGACTTTATCTTACAAATTGGCATACGTAGATATTTTTGTAAGTAAAGTCTTATTATAATTGTATTCAGTATGATAATAAAATAGCACACGTGGGTGGTCCGGCCGTCAAGTCTTACCTGGGAAATTCATACCAGGTATAAAGGCCGGTCGAGACGCTGTTGTCATCAAGCTAATATTTATACTTTACTTTATATGAAACAGGAATACGTATTCTAAGAAACATATCTATCAGATGTAGTCACTTCCTCGCTGATTATAAATACGTGTGTGCAATGTTGATATTGATATATATTCTGTAATGTTGCATACAGTGTGTAGTAAGTCCTTTGTATGTAAGTACTTATATAAATATATGTATATATCCATCATAAATAGTACTTAAGACAGGCAGAATTTTGTTATTTCTAATGCTAAACACATCCTAGATTAAGGCGACCTTTGACATTAGACATATCTATAACTAAGATTTATAGGGAAATTAATGTACATTTATCATTGCTAGTCTTTGTTTTTATACACACTAAACAGACACGTGTCATCGATAAATTAGCGCAAGGAATTAGGACCCACGATATTGCGGTTATCACCACTGGGAAACAACTTATTAACGAACAGGATCATATTTATAAAACATGCTAATTCTATTGTTCAAACGGAGAAAATTCCAAATCTGTAAACTAACAACCCGTGAATTGAATCCATACATCTTACATTAGGCTATATCGTACTTTTACAGTAACAAAGAGAGTGCAACATCAGACAACAAAATATGTAATATTTAGTTTTTTGTTTCAAAAACATTATAAGCTCAGGTAAGATAAACTCCTACCATTTCGAATTTTGCTTTGTTTATTTTGTTTTAAGTTATATCCTAACCGTACGATTTTCTTCCGAATAGCAAATGCAGTAAATATTTGTAATGTATTAAGTTAGATTAAATTCAATACAGTACAGATTAACAAATTTCTTTTACAGCAGTATTCTTTTTTGTTCCATGTAAACTTACAAAATGTTATTTGAGTGTATGGCTATTTTGTCACTTTGACTGACCAACTATTATGTTTAACATTTTTACTGATAACATGAAGTATGAATCGTGATTGTTCTGCACACGCGACGTCTAAACTTAAAAATAAAAATAAAATAAAAACGAAATAATACGATTATTTTGACACTTCAATACTTCAGTTTTGAGTATTATTAAATGGAAATAAAGATCAGATTTAGATGATATAATTACCGTTCCTAAGTATATTTCCTATAATTTCCTGTCTGCAGATTAAAAATATTAAACGCAAAACTACCGATTGATGCATGTACGACGACATACTTTGACCATTCTTGTTCGCGTAGTATAAACAGCTTCCTCATATCTCTTAAAATTCTCTAAAATCGACATGTGTCCAAGATCAAACACATTAATCGAGAGCGCAGACTTGTTGTCGCCTTTCGGGAAAATATGCATTTGTATATTATAATATAAACATGGAATGTAAAAGCTAATCAAGGTGTTACTTTGTAACAGATGTAAGTGCTTGAAACATACACGAAGCATCACGTTCTTTTGAGAATGTAACATTAAAACAAATTATTATGCAATTGTTGGTTTTACATTAAAAATTATATAACTTTTTCTGTTAATAGATAATAATGTATGAATTTAACTGTATAGTTATATACCAATTGTGTAATACTTTTTGCGACTACCCGACAAATTAAAAGTTTCATCTTGATGAATTTTTCAAACGATAGTTTAGACTTCAAAACAACAGCATATTTTAATGCTTCCCTCCAGTTATAAGCAACGTCCTATTTATTTATCGATTTTATTTATCTAAGAATAATTTTAGTAATTTTTTTTTTCATAAGTTTATTTGTAATAATTCTGATCTTCAAATATACAGATGAAACATCATGATTCGCCAACGAAGAAGGAAGTAACAAATTACCCCCCTTTGACTGGTCGAGAGTGTTCGGATAATTAAGTATATATCTTAAATTGCCTCTCATAATGAAGTAATGTTTTTGTTGTAAATCCTTTTAGTTATTCCAATGATAGTTGATCATGATGTCATAAGATACATTCCTTTAATGCAAGTAAACAGTTATGCTGATACTTTGAATAAACCGCAATTAATACTATAACTGCGAATTATAAAACTGTGGTTTAATATAAGTTTAATAGCTTTACCAACCTTCATGTTTGGTATATTAAAATCTATACAAATGTCACATATAAAATTAAGAGCCAAATTTTTCGCTATCAGCTTTGCAATTATTAGTATTTCTCGCTACCTTTACTATTCAAACATTAATGTTACTACTTCTAGATAACTATTTATGCGTTCATGTTTCAGGTGGGAATAATTGTATCAATGGTCCCCCTTTTTTTACTTTACTCAAAATGGTATGAATTACCATTCATGTGGTCTAATTTTTCCATAAATCATTATTATCTGGAATAAGTTTAAACATCTTACATCCCCTGCTTGTTAAAGCGTAAAGAAAGAGAGGCTAAGTGAAATGTTCCCAGTTTGATTTACCTTTAAAGTAGCGGGGAAACATTTCTACCTATGGGCTTTGACAATTAACTGTTATCTTCCCCTCAGATGAATGTCGCGACACTCAATCAGAGAAATCTCTAAATACGTCTACTTCAAACTTATCAGATATTACAAATCCCCGTACTTCGCTGTTCAGACATTACATTCAGAGGACATTATAACTTAAATGATAAAACAGCCTAAGAGTTTACCCACATATCCTGTTTATTTCAGACTACTTTCTTTATTCATTTATGCAACATCAATAATCGCCAAGCTTGAAATAAAAAAAAATGACATTAGCTTTTAAATAGAAAAAACGGTAATTTTGTTTTTTTTTTAACTCATAATGAAAAGAAGTGTTATTGTACTACAACGTCCATGTTTAAACGGAAACAGAAATACATTTAACGAAACAGAATTAGTGTTGTGATATCATTCAATGTATCACTCAAGGGTACAAACCTTCAAAGAGTTTACATTCTTTATCATTACTGAGAAGCTATCAAAATGCTTGCCTGCCTTAGATAACACATTTATTTATATATATTTGTCAAAAAATGATCTTTGAAAATATAAAATTTACATACAAAACGAATTAAAAAACTGCAATTAATACCCTCATAAGTAGATATGTCGAGATTTTTGTTTATTCATGAGAGCTCAATTCTTTCCAGTAGAAATAATGATCTAGATTTTCAATACGAATTTTATCTTTGGCATCATTTAAAAGAAATGTCTTTCGTGTTCTTGGCAGCTCCATCATCAATACTCGATGAAGTCTTACCTTACTATGTTGCGTGATAGCAGATTTTACCTGGTTATATATTATCGATATAATTTAAGGGAATCCATTTCTGTATTGAAATGTTGAAACACAAGACTCGGTATCAGGACTAATCACGAATAGATTTAGATATAAGAAAGGTTTAAATGTTCCATGAAATTTATTTGTAATTTCTATCACCATTATAAAAGGATCAATATCTAAGTTATGAGTATTCAATATGAAAACAGATATGGATTATTTTAATCTATTTTAAACTTTAAATGCATATCATAGGTATATAGTAGTCAGAATATTTATGGGTTAAGTGAGGTGTAATCTTATCTTAATGCTTATGATATAAAGTGTCGAGTGGAAAGAAGGAGACTTGAATATTACCTTATCAACAAGCAAATTATGTCCTAGTCCATTATACACGTATTATGAATGTTATTAAATCAATATTACAATACTTTTTTTAACCTTTAATTACCAACTAGTGACGAATTTCGTTAGAATTTAGTATTTTAGAAACTTTAGCAACTTTAGGAAGTATATCTGTCATTTAAAAGTTAGTTTGATGCATTTGTTATTGTTTTTTGTTACTAAAGCTGATTTGTTTACTGTCGACGAAAGTGTTTAAAGACAGGTAATAGGTCTACAAGATTACCTGTCATCAGTTTATCCCTTACCTCTTTGGCAAAACGAGGGGTATGCTGTTACTGATGACGCTTTGTTAAGGTCCAAAGCTGAGGGCACCTCGGAGCCCCGCCAGGTATTGTCTAGCACGTTCAAACGCTGATGACTGTTGCACGTGCACGATATTGCACAACAACTCCTTTGAGGGTCTTCACGACATGAATTTTCACATTCATTCCTGTTACTCGAAGCTTTATAAATCAAACTTTCATAGCCAGACTTCATTATCGATGGGTCACGAGGAGACGTACCTTCCGATGATGAGGTGCAGATAGATTGTAGTTTCCAGTCGGTATTTCCATGCTGTTTGGGTGTGTCTGTCTGTAGGGAGTACATAGACCCGGGTGGAAAGTACCCCGAGTGGGGCCAGGATCCATACATGTGGTAGTTACGGTCACAGTTTGCCCCGTCCGCATATGAAGGCAAGTGCCACCCACGAAAAGCATATGGGTTCATCGCTGCCATAGTTCGTCCACACTTACTGTGAAAACTCCGTGTGATTATATATAGTTGTGATAGTCTTAATATCAGTATTGTAGAATATTACGTGGTCTACACTTAATGCTGCCACTACAATGTAACGGCGTAAGAGATATCTGTGACGTCTGATGGCTCTTTCACTACCAACCGTAAAATTCTATTGCTTTTCTCAATTCCCCTTCTGCTTGCTTGTCTCACACAACTACTAACAGTGTGCTCACTACATCAACAGTAACCACCAATGTAACCTTCCCTCCTCAGTATCCTGTGATCGCACTGCGACTGAGGTTTTCCACCAGCCAACCGTGTGGACGACATAGATAGTGCCTATCGGTCTGTTTCTTTTTGTCAAACCAACTCATTAAAATAATAACTACACATCGATAGCAGGCGATCAATTGATTGGTTCCTATGAATGCGGAGTAGTGGCGTATGTCGACTGTGCTCTACGTAGGCCCAGTCAGGTCACCGTGCGGCTCCCGCTGTCTTCACGCAACACTGATTCGCTAGCTTGCTCGTGCATAAAACTAGGAAAAAACAACCATACAGTTGAAGATATAACAAACTGAATAGCTAAATTGCTTTTGTTTTTTTCTAGTATAAATCTATTTGAGCGGCTAATTTAAAATTCGATCCATCAGCTTCGAGGCAGACCACCTACTGCCAATGAAAAAATATACTGTAGAGATGTACGGAAACTCAAGTATTCTTTCAATTTGATAATTTTCTACAAGTGCTTCTGAACAACCACAGTAACGTCCTGGACCTAAGTTATTGATGTAGTTGTTGTACTAACGGCGGTGGAGGTGAGAACTACTGCTTAAGATTTACCGATGTTTCATTTATTGAGCGTAAGGCACAGGAAGTGTTTCTTTTCGATGTAGAAGAAATTAATTTTTGTGGAAAAAAGAAAATGCTGTTTTATCTTCAAAGGAACTTGTCGGATCATTACTATTTTAATCACTGACTTTTACTCAGGATGACAGAGGGATATTTCTTATTTAGATTTTATGTACTAGTAAAGGCAGCTTAAGTATTATACATTACTACAAAATTCCTGTATTGTAGACATTTTATGAAGGTTCTGAGATATGTTTTCATGCCAGCCGGTGCCCAGATAAGAGGGAACCATGCTAATTGCTACTGACTAGTGTTATAAACTCTCCTTTATTTAAGTAAATACTAGCAGACTACGTTTGTTTACAGGATCACGAGATATGAAAAGAACTTCATAGACTTTGCATGCTGAATTTTATTTTGTGACTAATAAAAAGTCATTGAGTGGCAATTCGATACAATACTGTTTGTCATCAATGTCGACATTCGATGGATTATAGGGAACAGATTTGTAGTAGTTTTTATCGCAAAATAACTGGTACGCCTTCACTACATACATTCTTACGAGGTTTGTATAGATCCATAACAAGGTTTGACGAGATATAAAGGCAGTATATATAGTCTGTATGTAAACATACAGGCGACAAGACAATGAAAAAGTTACCAATAGTTCCATGACAGAATTTTACAGATCATAAACAAGAGAAAAGGAATTTAAACAGAATATCACAAACACTTCCTTGGACAACGGCAATATGAAACGTTTTGTAATCATTTTAACGGTATTATTCGAAAGACTAACAATTTATGAAGAAACAGATATAGTTTTTCAATATGAAATATAAAGCTACATTATTAAAGTATTTAAGTATTCCAAATTCTGTTGAAATGCAAAGTTACTTTGTTCCGTCAAATCTATTTATGTTCTCATGAGAAATATTTGAACAATACAGCCTTACATCTACAGTTACATTGAATTTTATACAATAGTACTAAATCAATATGTTGATTTAAAAATGTCAAATAGGCAGGTATAGTTTTTAGATTTATCACTCATCAGTAAAATTGATCTTATAATAACAATTATACTTTAATGTATATCGCAAAAAGTTTTCTTTATCCCATCAAAGGAATAAGCATTCCAATAGATTCGGTTACTATCGACAAACAAAACATGTCAAAACCAATTAAGGATTCGCATCTATACTAATCTATTTTGTTTTAATATTAAATTATTTGTTTCTTACAAATGGTATTGGATCACGGGTGGTCCGTTTTATATCACAGTGCATTGTTTTTTTTCTGGATTGATATTACAAACATAACTACACAAATAAAACTTTGATGTTAAATTAATATCGTTTTAATAAATCCGCGTTGAAAGCTATACATAGGAAGTTATACAATTTTATCGATTGTAAAAATTCAAAACTTTTAGGTTAGCATATCATTCCTTTTTTACTGCAATTTTGATTATTACTGAGCATAACCAAGAAGTGGTAGAGTTAAAGATAACAACCTACGATAATATATTTCAAAGTTTGTACTCGGTGTGACATACTTGTCGTTTTACATCCAAATTTAGGACATTGATTTTAGTAATAAACACTAAGGTACTAAACCAATCATTTATAAGGATATATTGTAATTGTTCCCTTTTTCTTATTCTATATTACTTTTCCTGAGTGTCATCGATCTGACAATGATTTGTATCTGTAGGTAAAGGAATACAAACAATAATAATTATAAACTGATATTAAACGGTCACTTAGTTGACGTTAAGTGTTTTTTATATATGTTAGTCTAAGTATCTTTGGTTCGTTTAGTCTGTAGAGAAACGGAAGATTACATGTTGCTTTTATTGTGACTAATCTTACATTGGTTTACATAAGCCCAGTGAGCATTGCCCTCAGCTATATACGTTACTTTTAGTATACTACTCTGTGTAGGGTAATCTATAGATAATTTATATAGAGGGCTCGTTTCATATCTACAGAATGTTTCTTGATCAGTCTAACAAGGGTTAATTAATTGCAGAATAACAAAAAATAGTCATAAAGCGTAATTTAAACGAAGTAAACAATTAACAACATAGGTAATAAGTCTTTGGTTTCTTTTCATATTATCGTTGATAATAGTGTGTTAAATCAGAACACAATTCTTATTACTAGTTGTCCATGTCATGTCTATCATTAAAAGCGTCAGCTGTCAGTTTTCCATATTACCTACATTGTACAAATATGCTTTCTCCAATAAAATCTGCACTGTGTTACCAGCTTATTGACAATTACAATAACATGAAAGTTTTATTTAAAAGAAATACAAAAACATATTTAGCATTACATGAGCTTTCTCCATAAAGGAAGCCAATAAAATACTGAAGTCGTAACTAATTAATCGCCTTAATATCTCACAATTATGAATTTTATCGACCTATAAGATATACCATATTATTACATAATGGCACAGTGGCTTACGTGGGCATTTGCTATGTCATGAATTGTTTGTTTATGAGATGAACATAATATATACATATACATATATATATATATATATATATGTGTGTGTGAACATTGAATAAGCTTTGTTAAATGATCTCTGCAGGAAAATATAACATAAATGAACTAAAGATAAATAGATTCTTTTTGATGAAGAAATAAATTAGGAGAAATTATATACCAAAACACAACCATTACTTGTATGAGAATATTTAGTTTATTAATTATCATGATAATATTGAAACAAATATTTGTTTACCAAATATTTAGCTCTCTAATGTGTTTCCATTTTATGATGGAATATTTAATAATAGAAAAAATATACTCGAGGGGAAAGGTGGTTGATAAGAAAAATAGAAACAGGGAAATTACCCAATGCATGCATTTTTTTTTATCAAAGTTAGTAAAGTATCCAAAATTCTGAATACATAGACGAAAGTAAGAGTGCAATTTTAACACAAATAAGGCACTTTATAGTTTAACCTGAAAAGATGCATATGTGTGATATGCCATTGAACATTGGAACATCTCCTCCTTTTATTGTGTAAAGTGGCTTACACTTGGGTGGCCATACAGAAACAAACCATGATATTATCAAAACAAGATATCCAATACAAATATCTAGAAAAATGGAAATACTAGAAGGACATTAAATGTGAATGTATTAAAATTATCTCTTCTACACGCACACTACCTTAAATGGATTTTAATCCACATACATCGTGTGAATTTTGCTCAATGTTTGTCGGTTTATGAACAGTAGTAATATTTTACTTGTCTGTTGAAAGTCAGAAAGGTCGTAATAGTAGACGTTAAACCCGTTAAATAAATAATAAAAAGTAAATAAATAAAAAATTAATACAGAAAAGTAACAACTGTAGAAACGAACCTGACGACAGTATTCAAAATGTGACGCATTTCAATAACATTATAAAAGTATATTCCACTTGGGTTTCTATTTTACCGTTGACCATAGCAACACTACCATAAAAAAGATTATAAACGTACTATATATTTTCATGCTAATCCTGTGAAGTGACATAAATCTAAAGGGATATGATTTAATTATATCTTGGCTTTTTATCTTGCTTTATATTGTAAACAAATACTTGCAAATGTAATTCACGTGTACTAACATCTTTCTTTACAGACCTTTTATTGGAATGACATTGCTATACTATCTTATCAGTTTTTATTATTGACGGATATAACAGACCACATTTAATTGATATTATATTCAGATTTATAAAACAAGTGAAAACGTTAATATGCAAATGTAATTCACGTCGGATCAGTTGTCATATTCAAATTACAATAGTTTGCCAATTCTAATAATATTTTAATGTTACTTTTACTAAATGTGTAAATGTAATCAATGGTGTAGTTTTACATTGATATGCATATAAATATATATTATATATCTTGTCTTTATTAATCATTTTTGAGTGGAATTATAGCGGCTTATTTGTATTCATGTCTGAAAGAATTTGCATAAATAGTAATATTTACATTCATATCCCCCGAAATTTATAGTGCACAAAGATAAATAGGGAATATAATTAAATGTAAGATATGTAAAATTCAATAGTAGACGTCTGTTAAATTCCTGACAATTAAGACATATTCGTATATGATTTAATAGCAAAAGGACATTTCATAATACTTGATTTTTCCAGAAATGTTGCGTCGTTGATACTAATTGTTATGTCATTATAACTTTCATAACAGCTTTATTTAGCAGGATATTAAATTATTGTTAACACGAGGAATGGCCAATTTTCAAGAGTTTGGCACTATTTCCTTTTTATAAGTCTTCACTATCATAGGTTTTCGAATGCTATTTATTCAAATATTGCGCCGAATATATTTCCCATTAAATAAAATTATGGAAACCCGACCGCAACCCTGAACGTTCGAATATGAATTCTTTCAT